GCCAAACATTAACATATATTGCCCTTGTGTCTGTTTGGTCATATTCCTGTTTAACAAAAGTTTAATTTAGTTCATCTGATATCTATAAATATAATTTGTTTCTTCTAATATTTATTCTAATAATAATAATAGTAATATTAAATAATTTCTTTTATGGTTGTAGTTAAATCTTTTCAGTTGCTCTTAGTCTAACAAAAAAAAAAAAAATACAAAATTAATGACAGAACTGCATGAATGCAAACACATTGAAAAGATAAAGAACAAAAACAATATTTACCTATAGTGACATATCAATACATTTTATAATTTGTTCATCTGCCAAATATTAATTGACTGTTGTCAAACACCATGCATACACACATTACTCTGTCAACCCCTAGACACATCTAAAATGTGCAGGTTCCGTTGACCATGCATTCTCAACAATGCACACTCTTCCTCGAAACACAAATTATTGTGCCAGGATACGCCCAACCTTCGAAAAATACAATGTCTATGACTGAAATATTGAGAAATGAGGTCTTTGGTCATTTCAATTTTCGTAAAGATGTAGAAAATTAATTGATATAAATAGAAAGGGATGAAATTTCAATTTCCATTAGTTCATAGTCAGTTACATTGACATTGCATTCCAAGGCATACAGGCAAACCTCGAAAGCACCACAAGAGTGCCCAGGACACGTGTAAACTCTACTGGTGTTTGAACAACACAAGCTTTGAAAACTGCTTTCGTATCACCTTCTCATGCATACTTGCATTCCTTAACTTACATAAATGATGCATTCGAATCGTGACATAACTCTGAGAACAGCACTTTATCAGAGTAAACAGGTGGTTGTCCACTGCACTTGAGTCAAACATGTGTTGGTTCAACGTGCTAAAGACCCCGCTTTCACACATGTTTCCAGCACCGTCTTCGCAATTGCTCCTGATAGTCCAGCGCTACGAGGTAAACCACCTTGGTTAGCATTCAGCATTCGCATAATGCACTTTTCTGTTTCTTCACAAATCTTAATCAGTCCGTGTGACGGTAGTTGCAAACCCCCATTCGTCTTCCATGTTACGAACAAGTCCGGTATGTTCTCTTTCGTCGTCGTCAGAACCGTTGTACATTGGGTGCAATGGATCTTTTTCGTCACCATCTTTGCGACGTACCCAGCAATATACGATATTGCAGCCTCCTTGTACTCAGACAGTTCAATGGCATTAGACACATCACAGTAGTCATGATCGACGGCAGCTGGCTCTCTCAACTCCAGGTCGTATCGCCTGCAATCGCCACGTCTGAGATCCCAGTCGGCGTTTCTTCAATTTCACACTGGTCTTTGACACAGTTCAGTATCTCCGTGTCATCTTGAGCAACGCAGTTTCCACGTCCTCCTTCAATATTGTGCCTCATCAGCAGTTGCTTGTACGCTGCGACAAACTGCCGTGTGGTTGGATTGTTATTCCATCCTCCGCATGCTCGCACAGCACCGAAGAACAACTCCAAGTGATCTTGACTTATCTCGTACGTCAAGAGGTACTTTAGCACTGGTTTCTCCGCCATAACCAGATCGTTGGCCAATCCCAAAACTGCTTTGATGCAAATAAGAAAACCAAGAAACCCGGTCTTTCTTTTTGTCTTGAGAATCGATCTTCCATCAGGACCCTTTAGATTTCGGATGAACTCACTCGCCTGGTCCAGAAACTTCTTCGTGTACTGATGATTCGATCTCCTGATTGGCGCTTTGTAATTCTTTGCCAGCCGGTTTCTGGAATTCAGAACATCAAATTAGCGATCAAAAACACGAATAAACTTCACAGTTGGACCACATCCCTGAAATTGTGGCAATTTCAGCTTACCTTCGCAGTATTCTAAAGCATCAGCGACACTCGAACTGAGCGCCTGTGCTGCTAGGTTTACCTTCATCTTCTGTGGTTTCCATTTGATATGCCCTGCCCGGAGCAAGATGTAAACCCTCTGATTCTTGCAACTGATGCAATTTCTCGATAAATTGCCACTGAATTGTGTTCCCATTTCCATCCTTCAGAACTTGCCAGTCCGACATTGTGTTTCGCACCAACTTTATCATGTGGCAGGCATCCAGAAACACGTAGATCTTGGCCTCTGGGTCACACGGATGCGGAAAATACGCCTGCAGGCTATCAGGTGTAAGAATTGCGCCGAGCTCCTTTAACATCGCCTGGTGGGTCGAAGGACCATCACATGTGAAAGAAATCACCTTCACCCCAGCTTCGTGCAATTTTCGAATGCATTCTTTCGTCAAGTTTGCCTTCTCTTCACCAGTGAGTCCATTTACTAGAAAATATCCACAGGGTATTTTCCAACTTGAGTTTGCGCAAACTGCCATGTATACAAGAGCATCCGTTGCCTCAGGTAGAGAGTCGTCTTCAATGCCCGTTCCGAGGTCGACATAGCCACGCATTCTCTTTCCATCCCACTCAACATGTTTTCGTATGGACATCTCATCCAAGGTGAGGGCGCAAACAACTTCTTCACCTTTTCTTTTTGCAGCGAGGACCTTAGCTTTCAAAGCTGTCAAGGCATCTTTCGTGAAACCGGGTTCACCATCCATCGAGGTATACCACGATCGGATCACAGATACGTGTGGTAGCCCCAGCTGAAAACTTTTCCGAACATAATTATATGCCTTCGTCGAATAAAACTTTAAGGTCAGAGCAAATGACCTTAGCTCGGGTGGATACGCCCCAGGATATTTGCTTTTCTTTTGCGACACTAACCTCTTCATCAGTTCCTTTGGAACTCCGTTCGTTTACTTTACTTTGTTCAGTAAATACATGTACTTTTTTCTAAATGGAAAATGCTACAAAAGTGAATAAGTAAATGATAGTTTAATTGATTAAATGTGGAAATGCTTTGTTTTCTTTTCTTTTGATTGAAATAATGGCGTCCATGTTCATGCGCGATAAATGGGCCTGGAACGAATGTTAGGGATGAACATTACGGTCTGCAATGTGGCTTTTATTTTAGCCACATAGTTACTCCTTCCGTTATCACTGGTGATGTCAAAAGAAGGTGGGAGGGTGTTTTAGATTTGAGAGTGTGACAAGGAGAGAGGGGGAATCACTGGTGATGCATCACACTCTTGCATGGTGGGACTTGGGAGGGTGTTTATTATTGAGAGCATTACAGTTAGTGAGAGGAATCACTGGTGATGTCATGCGACACTCGGTGGAAGTGTGTTTGAGATTGTCACAGAAAGTGAGGGAAAGAAACCTTATCAATGTGATGTGAAGTTTTTAACAAAAATTGTAGAAAAACTAAAGGAAAAGACAACATGTACTTCGACGAACGGACTTACACAACTGACTGTCCATTATCACCCAACGAAGCGAAAGAACACATATTGGAGACTTAAGCCTTATGAATGTAACGTATTGAATATTTTAAAATTAAATATTGCACAAGAACAGACGACGAAAATAACTTTACGATCTTCATAACGATTACAAGTGATTTGATTATTCACCAAAAACAAAAAACACACACTGGAGAGAAAACCTTATAAAATGCAAACGCAGGATGATTAATTAAAATGAAAACTGCATGAAACAAAGACAAACCATAAACAAACGAGAACAAATAAAACGTACAACCATTACGCGACGTGGGTGATGATAAAACCTTCAAATACCTGAATTGGTGTGGAGAAAATCCTCACTGAAACAGTTTAAGACCTCAACTGTTAACAGGGTCAATAAAACAATCATGATTTTACTAAACGAACACTGACGTATGACGAAACCGTTTGAATGTAATGTTTGTAAGAAGAGATATTTTCACATTTTAGCAGTGCAGTGGAACACATTACTTAGTACAAGGAACCTGCAAAGACGAACTTCACAGAATATGTTGATAGTAACAGAACATTTGTCAACTATACTGAGTTTTGTCCGGCACTACTACACATGGCAGTAATGATGCAAAAATTATATATCCATGTTTAACACGCGACCAGGGGCAGAGATATTTCATCAACTAAGTTTGACTAATCTTGTGGAAAAAAACCGAGATTGCATTTGTTTAAATCACATGCAATTGCAAGTCTCTCAAATCACACGATTTTTAATTTACTTCGGAACTTGGTGTGTTTTCTATTTTTTCACTAGCATCTTTTTCTTTTAACTTTTTGGTCACCATATCGTTAATTCCGACCTATAAGTATCGTGTAGCTAATGTAGTTGTATTTCATTTTGTGGACGCTTTCTTATGTTATGATTGTAGTTAATTAATTCACTTTCTGTTCTGATTTAGTTAAATCTTTGTTGAATATTGTGGAAATGTTTTATGTTCTGGTGTTTTTTCTACTATTTTTGCAACCCAGCTCGCGTTAAGTAAACCAGGCAACATTGTTTCAATGAACATAAATCAGGAAACATTTCTTGCTCGCGATGTTTTTTGAACGCATTCTGTTTCCCCAACCATGGAAACGTTACAGAAGAACGAATTTTCTTCCAGGGAGGAAAAGTGTTCTTATAAAAGTTTCCAATGATTACCTGTTTAATTTTACTTTTGCCCCAGGACTTGTGAAACACTAAAAAAAAGCGAAAATGAAAACAAAGTCTGGTTTTTGCTTTTTACCAGATTCAAAAGCAGCCAATCAGCGTGCGTTTTATATCATAGAAGCAAATTAAAGCTGGCATCGTGTATTACTGAGTGTTGGGATCATGCAAGTCAAAAATAAACCATATAACTGCGGCTAATTTTGTACAGGCAGCTTCGCCAGCCTTTGCACGGATTTTGCTGTTAATAAGTCATAATATATTGCTCCGGGGTAATCGGAATAATGTAAACCATATGTGTAAACACTGGGGCCAATCAGAGGCTTGTACACATTTATTCAACACAAAGACTTGCACACATTTATTCATTTATCACAATTATTCATTTATCTTGTGTGATTTTGATCTTGTTTTGCAATCTATGCTATTCAATTACTTGAAATCAAGATTTTCTACTTTGATCTGAGTTAGATCTTGAGGATTCTTTTCTATCAATAGAACCTGACCGTTCTTTGACTCGTCACTTATAAGTTTCATCACTTCCTTGCTGATATCAGATGGCCTAGAAAGTGGAAAATCATAAATAATTTGTATCCTTGTACAAATTCGTAACCACTCAGGTTGATTAATATTGCAAATCAACAGCTTACTTAATAGCGCGATTGCGCAACTCTTCGTCAGTTTTTGGGATTTGCTGCATGTAATCATCCGGGGCTTTTAATTTTCCACTCCGAAGAGAATTTATAAACGAGTTCAACATATTAGTTTCAACAGCAGCAGGAGCTATACAATTCACTCTCACACCATAGTCATTCGGTGCTGTCTGAAATATTAAACATTCAATTATTCGATAAGCTTACGAGAAAATTATTTGTTCAGTAACGCATGATTCATCTGCAGGCCCCCGGCCTAAAACAGCGCGAGTCTTTAAAGTGCCTATATCACTTGTGGGATCTTTACGGATTTGAATAGAGCCTGAAAAATTAGTTTATAAGTTCTACAACCTTTTTTGATATAGTTTCGAAAATACGTCGGTTGGGGGGACTGGGACTCAGGAATGATTTGCAAACACGCCGTCTTTTATAATGTAAACGTGAAAAGTTTCACTGGCGATATAGTTTGTGCTTTTCAAGAAAAAAATGCGGGAACGGAGCGTTGTGTATGGCTGTAGCAACTGGGCGAGTTTTTCTCAAAATATTTTACGTTATTGGAAGATCGAAGTAAAATTACAATTGATTATATTATGTTTGACAAGAACTTGGTTCCTGAGTCCCAGGCCCCCGAGCACGACGGAAATTTAGGAAATCGTCATGTTTAGATGTAAATATTTCCGAAACTATTCAACTATATCAAAAAGGGTTGTAGAACTTATAAACTAATTTTTCAAGCTCTATTCAAACCCGTAAAGATCTCACAAGTGATATAGGCACTTTAAACAGCAAGAAAATAGTCGTTTACTAAGCCATTTAAAAGTCTTTTAAAAGAGTGATCAGCATAACAGTCAGTCAGCCATCGTTATGACATATTGGGAAAATTTAATTTGCGGAGATTGATCAAAAGAGGTTATGGTCGTATGTACAGACAGTATAAAGTGAAACTTTAAAAGTTTATACGAACCAATGCAATACATCAAGAAAAATGAGCGACCGCCGCCTTTGTCGCCGAATACACAGGAATAAATTTCAAGAGAAGAGTTACCCCTAGTAAAAAGTTAGAGTATTTAAATATTAGATTTTCGAGAAACTATCTTACAAATTCAACACTACATCTTCAATCATGCAGTTACTTCATGTTAACATGCATTTTGTTTACCCTCCATGCGGGTTTAGTCTCGGGTTGGATGTACGATTTAGGGATCACAGCCGGAAAACAAGGAAAATATTCATTTAGAAAAGTCGTAAAAATTTGCCAATCGATGGATCCTTCCTGTCCAAACTCAGCAGGAAAAAGGCGTTCCTGCAAATAAATCTACATACACTATTATACTAACACGACTGGAACTGACCCGAGATCACATAGAAAACGGCGTCAGTATTTTCAATCATCACAAGCGACTGGGTATGGTCTTAAAATAGTCATAAATGAGTTAAGATCTTGTTTAAAAGGACTCATACCGCCAATGGACGAGGAGTTTATGATAACACCACCATCTCCTCCAGAACCTTTTCCCATTAATTCAAGCCCCAGCATACTACCATTAATAACACCCCCCTAAAAATAAAATTCTAGGTGCAGTAAATTAGCTCCCAAAAATTGACCCGGAAGACTCCAACTCATGAGACTGCCATGATATACCAGGTGTATCCTGCCCCAGAACTGTTAATGCTTGGTCGTTTTCATACATAAACCCTGACTGCTAACTTAACCCTAACCCTAACCACGTTAATGTACGTGCAATAGTGACTGAGATATTTTGAAAGTTTCACTTTTACAAAGTTTGATTTTTTCCAAGCGGGGTGTCCTAGCAATATTAAGTTAAATTTGCATTCGTGTTTTTCTCTATAATTAATGAATTCTTAACTTTTTTACGGCACTTGGTTTTTTAAGCCTCATTTTGTCGTGTTAATGTTCTCAAATCCATCAGTTCGATAAAAGACTGCAAACGTGTGAACAACATTATTAAAATCTTGTCTAAAAAATATTTCTGCTACAAAATTGGGCCACTGATATTAATGTAAAATTGCTTAATATTTACATACGACGTTAATTGAAATCATTTCATCAGAACGAGTTATTTCATCTTCATCAAATTCCACTCCAGCATTGTTACACAACACGTTCAACCCACTCATGCGAGATTTTGCTTCATGAAATGCATCTTAAAAGAAGCGGGGATTTAAAAAATGAATGAAAATGAGTTGTTATAACTCAATAGAAGGATCAAAATTATACGTGTGTACACAATATCTTCGAAGCAGGGTTGGCCGAATCGGGGTGACAGCAGGGACAGTTGCCACTCTTGTCTTTTACCAGCTAGGGGAGGGGGGGAGAGCAGGAATGCCTCTTTTTTATTGAAACAATTGAGACAAAAATCGCGTCTGGCCATGAGCGCGCCATGGCCAGAAGTGCGCCTGGCCATGAGCAGTTAAGCCCGTTTTTCACTAGGCAAATTTACTCGCGCAAACAGATAAAAAGTAGGAAGCGACTGATTCTACTTTTTCGCAGCGAATTTCCCCCAAAATTTATTAATTTAGTTTAAATTTATAGATTTCGCCAGCCAATCACATTACTGGATTTCAGATACGGCGTCGCGCGGATATTTTAATTTTGCCTGGTGGAAAACGGGCTTTCGCAAGACTATAATCAACTACCGGAAGACCTTCAGGGCTCAGACTCGCCGGAAATGATCGAACGTTTGTTCAAATGTTTCAGAGCAATCTCTTGTATCCGTCGTTGCGCGCATGCCCTCATGAAAATATGCCACATACCGCGCAGTTCGTTCTTATTTGAAACATCACACTGTAAGAACACAGCCTTTCCACTGCCATATTTCTCATCCAAATCTCTCTGTGCCTTCACTCCTTCCCTGGCTGAGATATCTAAAAAGCAAACCTGTGCAAAATGGTGATAAGCAGCTAGGGCTACACGAAATGGCATAGATGCACAAGAATCCATGTTCTGTAAGAATTTGAACGAGCCAGAAGACACGAACAAAGCTGCTTTCCTTGCATCTTGCAATCATTTTTTGCATTTCGAACATTCTTCACAAATTAAGATCCCTTATATTATAATAATCCCTTATTATATAAGATCCCTTAATTATAATAGCGTGGCAAGTTGCATTGTGTAAGTGAACAGCGCCTTTATATCAAGATCATGCAAGTGGTTCTCATGCAGTTTGTGCATCGCTTTTCTCATACAGTCATACCAATGGATACAGCTGTTCCGTAAGCTACGTGATTTGTCACGCTGTAATTTAGCATGTTTTAAAGGTGCTGTTTACATGAGCCTGGTTATCCAAGATTCAACGAAGCGTGAGAGGACTTTGAGGTATTAAAATAAGTCTTTATGACACCAAACTAGCACATGCTATTGTTGTGGTGATTATACGACTGCCAGGATCATGTTATCTGCTCATTTCAATACCTCAAAATCATCTCACGCTTCGTTGAATCTCGGGTAACCGGACGCATGTAAACAGCCCCTAATATCTAGACTAGAAACTAGAACGATCATTTTGGGGAAGGTTATTAATTTATTCAGTTCTGCACGACGGATTTCTATTGTAAGCCATTGCACTTACAAAGGAAATCCGCTGGGCAGAACTGAATATATGAATAAACACACAGGGTGTTGTTAACTTGCATAACTGCATACCCGTGATACGACCACCGCTAACTGCATCTATAATCATATCCTACCTTTCCACCAGCCTCGAGTAACGCAGAGGTAATTGCATAACCAATCCCTCTCGCTCCCCCTGTGACAATTGCTTTGTAATCCGCCATTTTGTAAGAGCAAACTTTGTTTAGTGTTGGTTCAAAATATTGCACATAATATTTCAAAGTAAGTTTACACCATTCTCGTCCCAGGTTTTCCGCGTACTCCGTGTGCCAAAAGCCCGGGATATTACTTTGCCTGCGCTAAAAGCCCGAGTCACGCCATTATTCAGGAAAAACATTGCACACTGTATTATTCAATAAACAGTCTTGTAGAGAAACAAACATGTGTCTTCTAGTTGAAAATGTGCAATACCGCATACAGTCGTTTGGATGTTCTACAGACATCAGTCACATCACAAACAAACACATCCTCGTCCCCAGGGCCTAGCTCCGTTGATGGCTCACATGCATGATGCATTCAGCGGTCGAGATACAAAAATGCGCATAAATTATGATAAATTATATAAAGTATAAACTGAATTTTAAAGTTTGAATGGTTTTGAGTGGTTTCGACGGTATTTTGTTAATTGCAATATTTGTTACCTTTTTATCTTTACAAATCGTTTAAAAATGTCTAGTAAACATTTACAAACTGGCGATTCAAAACCTGCTTTTGATAGCTCGAAAAGATTTCGTATTTACAGCATGAGATTCTGTCCATTTGCACAGGTTTGTAGAAAAATAAGAATATATATGACTATATGTACATTGTATACATATGCTATAGTAATAAAATCGATATTTGTTACCAGAATCAGGGATGAGGGAACTTTGGTGCAGCAGAGGTGGTTCTTTCACTTTTACTAGCAGGGTGTCCCAAGGTTACTCCTTTCCAAATATTATAATTTGTTAAATAAACTGCATCAGATGCTAGAAATTCATAACCACCCCCCAACCCACCCCCCTACTCTGCCCCTTTTTTAGTTAATGCAATGTGAAATGATTAAGATTTAGTAAAATGAAAAAAGTTAATTCAGATTTGCTGTGACCAATGAGATGAGTTACAATCTTTTACAAGCCTGTTCTATTTGGTGGGTTTGCTTGTGCAATTAATTTGCTGGTCAATTAATTTAATAGCAATTCTTTCTCAATAGGAGCCAAATTGCATAAATAATAATACAATATGAATACAAGTTTTGATTTAAATCACATACCCCTAAAGCATATCTAGTACACACAAGTTTAAACTCCAACTTTGTGATGTACATTTCTTAATTTGAAATTTGGTTTAAATTTTCAGAGACCAATATTGGTCGCAGCAGCTAAAGGATTGAATTTTGACATTGTTAACATCAAATTGCGGAAAGATTTACCTGAATGGTATCCCTCAATTAATCCATTATGTAAGGTTCCTGCCATTGAGTTTCCTGATGGGGAACCAATTTATGAATCTTTGATTGTCTCAGGTATGTTCATTACCCATACTTTTTTTCACTGGAATCAATCATAGTCAATAAATCATTTAAATAACTCTGCTGATTCCAGAAGAAAAAATAATCGCACATGTGTGTTATTATCGCTTTTCAAAAATGGCGGATTTTTCAATAAAACACTGCATATTATGTAATGAATTGTTTTATCTACATCAAAATATTTGATAATAAAATTAGTGAAATTGCATGCAAATAGATATAGATTATAAAAATTGTATTCATCATAGTAGAGGTAATCAACAAATAATTGAGATAGAAGAGGTATTTGCCAAAATTCCTCAGTAAAAAAACTAATATTTTTTTAATCTATAGATTTACTGGACGACCTCTACCCAGAGAAACAACTTCATCCAAAAGATCCGAAAGAAAAAGCGAAACAAAAAATTTTTATTCAAAGTTTTGGTGAAACAGTGAGTATTAATTTTAGAACTCTATAGTCTGACTCAAATTCTGATTTTGTATTATCGAATTAATATTATAGTCATATCAAACAGAATAAGAGTCGAATCAAATCAAATGCAAATAAACTTCGTTCCATTATTCCCGTACATTATTCCCGTACAGAGAAAACTCGGCAATTTTTTGGGGGGATATATACGGCCCCCCCTCCCAATTTTTGATAGATGTGAAGCAGTAATTATAGTTACTCCAATGTACAAGAGTTTTTTGTCATCGGTTCACATCTATCAAAAGAGGAAAATGACGCTTTAAATCGCAGCAAAAATCGCAAGTTTCAACGGCTCTTAAAAGTTCGTCATATTTAAAAGACAGTTACCTGCATAACCTGCATTGCCTTCATAAATACGCCATCTCCGTCTGAACAATGTGACAATTTCTATAGGCTGCCTGTCTTTTGACGAAGATCCTGAATTCTTTTTACATTTCACTGAGGTCCATTCTCGTTTTTTTTCCGATTATGGAATTTAAAGCATCAACAATTGTACTTTTCCATATCAAATTAACTACTGTAAAACTACTAAGGGATCTCCCCTTATTTTCTCGCTTTATTTTCCAGTTGATTCCGTCGTTTTACAAAGGCCGACAAGAGCAAGAAAAAACTGGAAAAACCAGTGAAGAAATGGTGAAGAATATTGCTAATGTTGAAGAATATTTGGCTAAGCAAAAATCTAACTTTTTTGGAGGTAAGGATTCATATTTGATTTGTAAGGACAATTAGTTTTCGATTTAGAATGTTTGATTTATAAAAAACGGAATTCCAGCATGTTTCAGAATTGCTATAATTCACTACATCGATGAAGGTTTTTTATCGCGAAATTTGGTTTAATACTAAAAAAATTTCGCCTTGTGATTCCATCCCGCATCCATTCCATTTCCAAACGTAGTTTTGTATCAGCTGGATTAAACCTAGCTTTTATACCAAACTAAATATACTTAGGTTTAATCCATGGTTTGATCCAGCTTATACCAAACTAAATATTAAATATATTGTAGGTTTACTGATTCAACCTATACCAAGCTAAATATACTAAGGTTTATCATGCATACTTAGGTTTAATCCAGCTTATACCAAACTGAATATACTTAAATTTAATCCAGCTTAAGTCTGAGCGGAACTGCAGGATGGAATTAGAAAAGCTTGCTGACAAAATTAATAACCCTGTCTGTGTTCTGGTTCATTCATCACGAGTGATGTTACCAAACCTGTCATTGCCAGCAAGCAATCTAGACCTGAGTGTAATTTTTTCAGGTGATGAGGCTGGAATGTTAGATTTCATGGTTTGGCCGTGGTTTGAACGTTTACCTTTGTTTTATACACTATCTGTGGACACACATCCAAACTTGACAAACTGGGTCAACCTGATGCAAAATGAGCCCGCAGTGAAAGAAACAGCGTTATCAACGGAAAATCATTTGAAATTTTACGAAGGATACAAAAATGGTCAGCCTGATTATGATTTTCTTTAATTTTTGAATGTTGGTTTTGTAGTCATCTGCAGTTGATAGTATTTAGGGGAGAAATGCGAAATGCCTGCAAAGTTTCGAACACTCCGAACAGTCAGTTCATATATTTACAAAATTACGTTTGATATTTTTGCCATGAAATCAAAGCTGCGACATGAAATTTGATTTATATAATAATAACTTGACAAGTTCACGTAAATATGTTATTTTTCCAAATTCAGGAAACTAGCTTTACAAGTACTAAAGGCTTATTTGAACGCCAGGGTTATTGTGAAACGCATATCTAATCGCTAATGGTACTATCCATGGTAATTGAAACCATATCTTTGTCTTAGCTAAATACTACACTGTTCCTTGAAAAATATTGGTACTTGGTACATACGATGCTTGATGAACCGATTTTAGGGAAAAAGCTACGCAGCTACTGCATGTGTGTATTTTTCTCAAACTCCCTCTAGTTGCTTTTCACATCAGTTAAAAATGTAAGTTCCCTTTCTGAAACGGAATGAATACACCTCAAACCTCGTCAATTATAAACCTGAAACATTGTTAGTCGTGACGGTAGGAATCAAATAACAAAGAACATCATATTTACAGTTTTTACAGCATTGTTTATCACGTTATTGCCTCCAAGTTTGGGACAAATTCATCCAGGTTTCATCCAAAGCTACTGACTGTTTAAACTAGTTGTCTGTCGTGACGTACGAGGTGTCTGAGAGATCACTACGTGGAGCTAATGGTGCTAAGACTGACCTTGATTGAGCTGCATCGTTTGGCTGTGACATCTCTTCTTGAATTTCTCTCAAATCATCATCACGCTGCGAGAGCTGGGAACTGTCACTAGATAATTTTGCTTTACGCTTTGCTTTCTTAAACACTTCTGCCAGAGTTTTTGGCATTTTACTTATAGACGATTGTTTTGGTAATTTCCCTTTCTTATCCGGAACTTGTCGTTTTTTTTCATTAACATCTGCAGTTAATGAACTGCTTTCATCTTCGAAATCATTTAAAATGGTTTCCTCGTCAGAAGATGACAACACGTCATCCTGTGGTATTGTCGGTTGTGATGTTTGCGCATGCTCAATTAAGCCAATATCTTCGTCAGTCGCACTGGTGTATTCAAATTTGCTTGGTTGTTCACGTGTCACAACGTTCTCTTCCAGGATTCCTTCACGTGATGGTGGCCTGCTAGTTTCACGATACCTTTTGCTATCAACAGATTTCATTGAAGCACGTGATTGAGATCGTTGTGAAATCTTCGGTTGACCGCTTATTGTAGCATATTTGCCATCATTCGAATGGCGATCGCGTTTTTTCTGGATGTTGGGATCGGAAAGGACTCGTTGTTTAGAAGAACGACCATTTCGTGACTTTTTCTCAGAAGATGTTGAATGAACACTGACGTTGGATTGACGACGTGCGTAGGATACTGGAGTGCTTGCTTCATTTGGTAATTCTATACTTCCACTGTTTTTCACAATTTGTTCCAGTGCTTTAAGTCTTATCATGGTAAGTTGAACTGATGTGCGAATCTTTGATGTTTCTGTTGATACGGATGTCATCTTCTCCATTAATTCGTCCAGATCTGATTTCTGAGCCTCGCCAAACCTCTTGCCAAATCTTTCGTTTATTAAAAAGAAGATGTCATTCACTTGTATCCTCATTTCATCCATTTGTCTTTTTTTGTCTCGATCATTCCCAGCCTAAAATAGAGCAAACTGTATAGTCACAATAATTTGAGAGCGATTTTTTATGTATCGCGTATTTTAGCGAAAAGATATTGAAAACGTCAAATCTTTTTGGCGTGCCAATCCATTTATTAATGCTTTACATTATGTAATGAACTGGGTCTTGACCGTGGAGCGTAGGTAGAAAAGCCTGGCTTTCGAGGTTGAATATTTGGAAGTCGCAGAAAACCAAGCGACCAGACTTTTTCAAAATATTATGTGGATACCATTATTGTTATTAATGACTTAAATAAATTCAAAAGTAGCTTTGTCATTTTTTTCTCGATACCTTGAGAAATCTTTTCAATTTTGCACTATTTTTATATGCTAATTATGCATGTACCTTTTTATGCTTTTTATGTTTGCAAAACGTTTTTAATGTTTAAAATTTTAGAACACAATTGTAGTGAAGTATATTAATATTCATAAAAATATGGTTGTTTACCTCATCTTGAGCATCGTAATCTTTGACCTCAGGACTGCAATGCTCCCTAATAAAGTCATAGTATGCTCGTTTGTGGGATTTTCTGAGGGATTGCTCCAAATTAAGAATCGTCTTTGCTCGCTGCATCGCTGCATTCTCGATTGCATTTTCATAAACTCGTGTAAAAGTGTCAGCAAGAAGCGCAATGAGAAGATTTAATATTATGATTGAACAAATTGAGATATATGTTCCACAAAGAACTCTTGCCATTACTGCATCCTTAGCTTCCAAAGAGTCGAATGCGTAGTTGTCCAAGACTGTCATACCAAATACTGTATAAAAAATAATTATATTATATTATTAATAATACAGATTATACATATCACGTATCCTTAAGCAACTTCTATTTTTTTGGCGATAAAGTTATAATTTCTAAATGTCTTTTTTTCAGTGAACAGTTAAAGTTTAAACCATTTTTTTATTGAATTTATTATACATTAGCTGTACGCTCTATGTCGCCTGATCGTTTTTCGTCGACTAGATTATGTTTTTAATATTTACTCAGTTTCCAAAAGAAGATAATATTACCTGAATACAACAGTTTTGGCAAAGTGTCGTATCCTTCTGCTGGGTGAATGCTGTAACCACCAAAGATCATCCAAAAACATGCTGTGTATGGAATGAAGAAAACAAGAAAAAGGAAGACCCATTTCAGGATGTCGCCTAACATATGACTAAATAGAGCCACAAACGGACCAGGCCCTTTAAAAGGACGCGCGTATTTCATAATTCGGAACCAAATAACGATAAGTAGAAGACAGACGAAGCGAATATGAATGTTGTAAACTTTGACTGTATCCAAGAAAAAGAAAGTGGCATGGGATATTGCCGATGCCATGATTAGAATCAGAGCAAACCAATCAATATAGAACCATCCGTCCTGGGAACTCAACAAACGTTCTTCTCGTACAGCTTTTATTTCTCCGTCCAAATATCGTTTTTCATCCGGCCATCTTGGATGACAATATGGCAGATCTCTTTCCAACTCTTTCTCGCGGTACCCTGAAGAAAAATGCGGTTGTAAGCCGAATGCTCTTTTAAGAAATCTAAAACAATCTTTCTTCGGTAACTACCATGAAAAATTATCCACTTTTTCATTTAGACTTGACTAATATTCTTACCTTTCCATTTGGTTAAAGATTTCTTCACTCGATAAACAGAAGCAACTTGTTTAAAAATTTCCACAAAAGTGAGAAACATCACCAAAATAGCTAGTACAAGTCTCCACCAACGTTCACTAAGAGGTTCATATAACTCTTTAGCTTTGTGAGGTAGTGTCACTCCCAGCACCGTCCAAAGGATTGAAAATAGTAGATTTGTAGCAAGGTCCAGCCAAGCACCACGCTTGCCAAATTTTTGCCATTTCGTGTAGATCAAGCGTTGCATCACGGGATGCATAACGATGTCAAATTGCTGAGTTTGGATTGCAACTTCCAGTGGGGTGCGAGCACCGCTTTTCTGAAATAAGCGAGATAGGTTTTCCAGAGATACTGCATGCAATAAATATTTCTACCAATACGTATATAAGTTTTTGTTTGAAATATTTAATTCCGATTAAGAAGGGCACTATTCTAAATCTATAGTTGCTATTTCAAGGGACAACAACTTTTTAAGAGCAAACTGAATTATATTTATATTTCAAAATACCCTTGCATTTTAATTGTTTGTTTCAAACTGTCGAAATAAATGCACGAAAACCGCCTAGAACCAGGGTTGCTAGCATGAAATATTACGCCACATGGAGACTATATGTTGGGTCAGTTGGGAATACGTTCTATCCAGTTTGTCTATCCAAACAACCAACTCATTAAATACTTTTTAGTTCAAAATACCGTCTGGCAAATGGTGGTTAATAATATTCTTAGGATGCCTTAAATTATGTATACTAGAAAGAATTATGCGTATTCCCAACTGCATTGAAGAAAACATTTACCTTATCCTCTAATAACCTCGGTCCTTCGAGATAGTTGAGGAAGTAATATTCTTTTCTATTGATCATATCCTCAGAGTGGAACTGATCCAAAGCTACAAGAGCGACGTCAGGCATCTTCAAGATGAGAAGAGAAAGAGCAACTTCTCCCTTGATATCGTAAACTCCAGCAGGAGCGCCCATGTCAATGAGAAGTTTCGCTGCTTTTGAACGACTCATCTCGGCAGCAACCTGAAATATTAATTTATGCGCAGCTTTCTAACTACAAACTTTTGCCAACGTAACTGTTGAAGTTCTAGGTACAAAAGAAAAATACATTACAAGTCTTCTGTGATGCAAACATAAGCACTTTACCTGTAATGGTGTTCTCTCTTGATAATCTCTTGCTCCCATATCGGCGTCATAAGCTAACAACATTTTGAGTGAGAGACAAGCGTCATTTTTGGCAGCAAAATGTATTGGAGACTGTCCTTCTCCCGTCGTCTTTATGTTAACATCAGCGCCATTATTGATCAAGAATTCTACCATTTTGGCGAAGTCCACGGCAGCAGCCACATGAAGTGGAGCTCTTCCATATTTATCTTGCTGATCTATACGTGCACCTTTAGAAGAAAGTCGCTACTTATTGATCATAAAACTGTGGGTAAACTGTGTTTTTCTACACCGGCAGTAAAAGTCAAAATGTAAAATCAAAATCATGGCTGTTTCAAAAATATTTTAAAGGTGGTTGAACTCGAAAAAACTTTTTAAAGGCTGCTCTGACTGCTGCATAAAATTCAGAGGGACTTTAAATGGCTCAAGAGTATAATTCGTATTCTCCCTCAACGTGTGCGATAGCGAGGCAGCAGATTTTTAAGAAATTGCACAAAATAAACATTTTTCAAAACCTTCGCAAACGTGGTAACTCTAGTCTGTGACAAAGGCCCTCTAGGTTGAAACATCAAGAAATTTTTTTGACTGTTGTAGCCACTTGTTATACCATATGTTAATTTGAAGACACTGTCACGCTGCTGTCTGGTTAGAATGTTCAAAAACCTACCATTTTTAAGCAAAAACTGTGCAACATCCAAATGCCAACTTCTTGCAACTTCATGAAATATCGTTTGGCCATGTTTATCCCTTGCATTAATGTCCGCCCCATTCTTTAATAATGATTCCACAAACGAGAAATCAAATGTATCATTGTCATTGTTTGAATTTGCTAATTGTGCAATGTAGTGGATCAGTGCATGATTCCTGAAAAACACAGAAACATTGACAAACTGAAATTGTAGTAAAATGTGTCAGATTCTGGCAGCAACAAAACAAAAAGCTACTAACGAGTAAGTTAGCTGCAGAGAGCGAACGAGTTTTTCTTATAGGTTTAATATTCACCTGACTTTAACTGTTGCTCCCATTCCCTTGCCCCTATCATCTTCAGTGTCTTCTAAATCACTTTCCAACACCGCATGCATTGCCTGGTTGGTTTTCTTACTCGCTCCAGGGATCTCCTGCATCAACATTTCTTCATACTTCATGTAACGTTTCCTTGTTTGTCGTTTTGGTGTCAATTTCTGCCAATCATTTGCAATTCTCCTCACTATGGTCAAATTTCTTTCGTTCAGTACTTTCACTGGAGGTCCATTCTCCATCTTGTCCACTTTTAATGAATTACCAGGCTGATTTTGCATTTTGGATTCAATCTCTAATTCCTTGAAACATATATTTTCAATAGATTACTTATAACCCCAGCATTTATTTAATTTGCCTTTCTTTTTTAACGGGATTTTGTTATTGTTTTCTTTCATTGCAAATTATTTAACATTCTTATTGTTTAATGAGAATAAGTATCGCTAGCTTTCGTTTGCCGCTCGAGTGTTAGAAATGAAGAGACGACTTTTTTTTCAATTTACATCTCAACTTTTCTAACGATTTTGTCGAAACCTGCCGGAATGAATGAAGTGAATGATGTATGTGGGGTGGGATGTGGTGACAATATAGGGAAGTGACCTTTACTTTTAAATGTCCGGAAGTTCTTGAGGAACCTCCGTACATATATCTTACTCATACTGGATTTCAGTTTTAGCTAATGATCATGGGTGGCGGAACATCGTGGGATATATTGGGGTAATAGCTCGCAGAAATAAGTATGGTTACCTTAAAGCTACCTAAAATGCCGGAAGAGTTATTGTACAAACGAGTAAAAAAAGTGTCGAATTGAGCGTTTAATGTGAAATTTATCACAAATTAATTTGTAATCTTTCACGAATTAGTACTTCTATGCGGAAAGATAAGTTCATTGCTAAATTTTTGCTCGCCATCCCGTTTCCACTGTCGCGTTTTTTTGACGTCCGCCCGTACACGCATGTAAAAGTCTGGAATAATTTAAATTAATGATTGAATACTAGATGCACATGTTTGCATTCTGTTGGTGATTCCGTATGTTTTTTCTGGCAAAAAATTAATTATACAACACCTTTGAAGGGTTTAAGCTTTTAGCCTTTTACATGCGTGTACGTACGTGCAAAAAAACAGTGGAAAGTAGCCCTGATCTATGAATCGTTACGTGAAAATTAATGTAACAACTATAGACCAAATATTCTGGTATAAAAGCGCTACTTATAGGTATCTGAAATACGAAATCCGAGCGGTTTACAAACTACTAACAAAACGCCTATTCTGGCGTTAACTCCGGCGTGCCGCGCACGTACCAGTCTTCAATATAAAGCCTCTGAACAGCCTCGTTCCCTGAACACAGTCCTACTTTCTATTAGATGAGTAGCCTGAACACGCAATACGCGACAAACCTGGGAACGAGGATGCGACACGGCCAGCTCGACGACGCGCTTGCATGCAAAACACTGTGGCAAACTGACATAGAAACTCCACACGCATGTATGCATAATTTGTGATCCCACGCCAGCGTTGTCGTTCTTACGACCTTGAAATGAGGCAATTTCACGGCTTCTCGATTACATGAAAGCAGCGGCAATGTGATAGCTGTTTGATAGCTTATATGAAACTGCAATATCAGCTAAACTTTGGAGATTCTTAGCAAAATTGAAATATCGGAAACTATGATGAGCTATGATGCATGCTCTGCTCTGCATTGAGAAATAGATGTCTCCCTATTACTGAGTTAGGTAAGATTTATACAATCCTTTCCGCCAAGGAAATCAGAGTTGTAATAATCTAAATCTCAAATGGTAGCAAACAATTAAAGACATAATTTTATGCAGTTTATGCGGTTAGAAGATTTAAAGATCTTGCATTTATTTGTAAACTAAAGTCACTTCTGCATGCTCTTGAAAAACCACAAATGTTTTTATATTCATCATCATTACATCAATTATTGATTTAGATTCTTTCCCGGTTCATATATAAACGTCAACAATAATCCACCGGCTTTTATATTTTAAAATCTAATAAAAATAAAATGTTCTGTGTTTAAAAAAAAAAAGAAACAAAGCAGTTCTATACCGGGTGATTAAAAAATGATGCGTTTTATATTGAATACTTTTTTACTCGTCCTGTACAATTTAGTTATGAGAAAACATTACACCATGCACATGAACTACACGTGCGATGCATGTTCATCGCTTGATCAATATGCATGATGATCAATGCAAAATTTCCCCAAAGTCGTTGTAACGCATCCTATAGTGATGTCGTTTTAGTTTAACTCAGGTATCGCCATTATAAATTCGTTTGCTGTAAATTCCAATTAATCTTTTGGGACAAACCAGCCACAAGGTTTTTCGCTCACGCTGGCTGGCGGCCACAATAACATTGAATAGATCGATTGAAATGATCAAAACCTAGGTCAACATGCAACAAGGCCAAGCTACGCCGGAATACATGCATGCATGCATGGAAAAACAGTGTGAACGCGTGCATTTATAGAGAGCGTAAGCATGCGACGTTTTTGTCAACACGGACGTCACGCGTACAAAATTTTGGCGTTATAGATGGCATCAGCCGTTTTTGTTTAAAATCAGAAACCGCAGTCCGTGCAGTTTCCCGTCGTAGATTTTAAGCAAGAACGGCTGACGCCATTTTTAGCCGTTAAATTTTGTACGCGTGACGTCCGTGTTGACAAAAACGTCGCATGCTTAAGCTCTCTTATATTACAATAGATTCCGCCGGCAACTTTTTTCGTGGCTTCTTTAAAAAATTCACATGAAACTTATTTGTTATCAACTTCTTTAAACCGCGATTAACACCATTTTTTGCCAATTGCAATACAAAATGGCGCCGCATTGCATTCCAAATGCGGCCTGACGCGTAGTACTCGGGCCAGAGTCAATGCCATTGGCGCAGTTTTATTTAATTGACTTTATATAACGCATTGCATATATACATTCAAATAGTTTATGCCCTCTTCCTCAGTAATCCAATGATTACTTCCTAGGATTGCACTAGAACTTTACTAGAATTCCACTGCCAGATATTATAATATATATTTTAAACCTAAAAATAACAGATTATCGTTCATCAAATCATTTTGACATGAAGATGGAATGATTGCCAAAAACAATATCGTAAAAACCACATTATGACAGAAATATACCACGCAGTTGAAGTTGTTAGATATTCACAAGTACACTGACTCAGCATTCCACTCATTCAATTCATTTGGATAAAAATATTTTCATTTTATTTCAAATAACTTTTTCCCAACTTATGCTGGAGGGCCATGGAATTCTTCCAACAATTTACAGTAATTTTTCAGTGATATATTTTGTTATTTTTTTAATCTTACTCTTGCTAAGAATATGATTATAGTCAGATACAATTGAATACCAAGGTAGTTGTAATTTGAAGATATATAGCTTTGGCTTGTGAAGAAATTAAAAAAAATGTTGCTGAGATAGCCACCACTTCATGCATGCTTATCAAATCTCAGTGGACCTCATCGGTTCGTTTGTCCGATGTTTTTGCTGCTAAAAGGGCGTATTAATTGACTCAAATGTGATATTATCAAAGATGAGATCATTCCACCCGGAAATTTGCCGAGCGCAATCAAACTCTTACGCAGAAGCCGTATAAACAAAGGAAAATTCCGTAAGTATAATAAGTACGTAATTCCGTAGTAATATATCATGATTTTATTATGATCTAAATGAATGACAACATAGATTGCAATTATAGTCACATCGTGAATATATATATATGCTACTGAATTGGTAAAACATTTTCTTTTCTCATAAATTATCATTTATTACCAAATCGCCATGCATATTACATGTTCTCACTGACCCTTTCTGCGATCATTAAACAACCCCCAGTGTTTCTTCATTATATGACCTGTGAAAGGTTTGATGAAATAATTCACTAGCAGCTGACAATATGCTCAATTTTTGGATTTATAGGACCTGATAAATTCAGAAAGTTTCTCTGTAAAATATAGTTTTAAATGAATTTACTTTTCAATTTACTTTATGTTTACATGAACTTGATCTTCAGTCCGACTCACTTATCATACTTTTGAAGTGTTGCATGCATGCATGGAAGAAAGCGAACTCTTATAATATATTACATATTTTATATCGTCAACTATCGGTCCTCCGGCAGGAATCGAACCTACGTTCACGCGATGCCTGTGTATCTTGCCAAGATCACGGCACACTGCTGACCGCGGCATCGCATAAGCTTAGCCTTAGGTTCGATATATGACCTCGCATCGCTATATGACCAATTTAACGCATATTATGACCTTAAACGAACAAACTTTATATATATATACTATCGTTTAAATAATGAAAATTTACGTAAATGTGCTTAGAAATATTTAAAAACCACATTAATGATCAATGCATTATTACAGGATTATGACGGCAAGTGTATGTAATGAAATAGCGAGTTTACAAAGTTCATCCAAGTTCGGGGTGTCGCAATTTTTGTAGCCTAATTGATATTTCGAAAAAATTAGCACTCAACTTATATATTCGATTGATCGCTGTTTAGATTAGAAAGTACGTTGTATAAAGAAATGGGATTTATTATCAAGCATCGTATCAGGTAGGTTTTTACTATTATTATGAAACAGTCCTTCAATTTATGGCCTTTATTTTCTAACTTCTAAGAACCCACTACAATCTTTGTGCTCAATTAATATATAACAGCGTTGGTACTCGATCTTTTGAAGAAATATTTTTGTAAATCAAAACAAATCTAAATGAAAGTAAGCCACAAGGCTTTTAAACATCGGATGATCAATTTGTTTTTTTTACCGAATACCCATCAAATTAACCCGAATAAAAACGACACGATTTCCAATAACCGTTTAGAAAACATACCTTAGCAAGCCAAATATATCCGGAAAATTGAAACCAATGATTCAGATGCTGCCTTGGTGTAAGCTTGGTAAAAAATAGCGGTTTGTGAGAGTTTCCAAAGTAGATCTAAATTAATGCAGCGGCTATGAACATCTGCCAATTATAACTCAATGTCCCGTAGAGTGAGCGTGATGCAGACTCAAGCCATAATTATTCAAACAATGTTGAAACTGATCTAGAATAGACCCTGGTTGACCAAACTTTTGAAAATATGACGTAAACATCCATTACTCTGCAGCACTTCTTAAATTGAGTTTCAACAAACAAAATATCATCAAAACCGCTCAGTGCATCTATTATCATCATTTCCATAACAAACGGTCTTCTCATTGTAGCTGCATGGCTGGGCATTCTTTGCAATTAATTGAAAATCATTAAATTTTTGACATTTTATTAATACCCTTTTAATGGAAAATAACAAAATATTTAAGGAGTTACAACTTTAGAAAGAAATTTGCAAAATAATCCCAAAAGCCAGCCATCATGCCATAGCGGCTATAGCTGTTTGAAGAAAAGCGACTATTTACCATCGCGTTGCAGCTATTGTAAAAGTTAAATGTTCATGTATATTTATTTTAAAAATATATGTACGCCGTCCATCATAATTGAAAGCACAATACTTTAATATGGATGTAATATATTTCGATTTTCGGCGGAAGATCTTTTATTAAATTCAAGTCGAATTATTAGGAAGGACGTTAACCCATTAATTTCTGATCAGCGATTTTAAGATAAACATTCCATATTTTGAAAACTGAATGGTTGTCAGCACTGGCTTGATTCCGATTAGAAAAGATCTTGAGATTAGGGTTGTAAATTAAATTCGCAACGACCTTTTGTAATATTTTGTCATTCATCTTTATCTTAATCTTACTGCAAGGGGGAGTACTTAATATAGTGATGAACCCTGGTCATATACAAACGCAAGGAACTATTAATATAAAAAAAAAGAATAATATATTAACAAGAGAGGACATTAATCGTACATTAAGCGGTCAGAATTCGAATGGTGGTTCCATATTCTCTTGTTTCCAATGGCGTACTGATATAATATATATATAGTTACTTCAACCTATATTAAAAATATACAAACGTTTTTTCTGATATACGTGGGTTCATGAAAGCTGGAATCATACGGAAACTAAAATCATACGCGGATGGCAGCTTCCTAAAAACATGACGATAAATTTTCTCTTATGAACCTCGGTTACTAAAGATCTAGGAATTGCAGGCAATCTATCACATCGTGAGCCCGCGGTTCCTGCATCTCTGAGTAAAAATATTTCACTGATCATCTCAGTTCTCGTCATGAAATAATGTTTTACTGAAATACCTGTAAAATTTTGCGCTCGTTAAACGATTCATTCCAGTCTATTGCGATATGACCAGTTGCTGCTCATACTTTTTACAACCACACACAATATGTAGCGACTAACAATTATGTATCATTGCTTGCAGGCCAAGAAAGGTTTTTACAACAAAATCATCCAGTTTCCTGACATTTTTCCATGCCCCATTCTGTGTTTTTTCAACTTACATGCAGTAAAACTTGGTCCCTTACACTAAATATTTTTCGCCGCGATGTATCAAAACATTTTGATAATGCTTAAATTAGCCTGGCCTATTCACAGAGCGTTGCGTTTTAAAAGAGGACATGTTTATGTCTGCCATGTTAATAGATATATCAACTCCAAGAGGAAAAGTCTAAACACCACCTCGGGCAATCGACTGCATTTTAAGGAAGTTATTATTATTGAAATAGCTGATCCTTGTGGCTGGCGCATCTTTAAAAAAAAGATCATCATACATACACGAACAAAAAAATTTTTGTGCGCCATAATTTTTTATATGGAGGTAATTTATAAACTTTGCAAGAATTATCGTGTTTGCATGACTCAAAACAAAAAGAGATGTGGAGCTAACCACTAATGATGCATAGCTAGGGCATCTTTGATTACGATCTATACAAAATTATAAAACAAATGTAATAGATGCCGTCACCAGGTGGAAAATGTGACCATTTAGCAGCGGCTACAGAGGGAAGTGTGAAGCTCGGGTAGTGAAAAATGAAATTACTGCGAGTTTCAATTGGTTTTGAATGTTGCATTTCAAATTTTAGTTTACTGCAAACTTGAGAGGCCCACCGGGCCTAAACTAACCGCAGATCTCAAAATCGGGGCGTTTTAATATATATATAATTAAACATGTTCAAATTGTGCCCTGCGGTGATATTAATATTTTAAATTTTAAAATAAATATTTACTTATCCGAACCACAATTGATTCCCAAATGCATGTTGTCCATGAATAACGAGAGCTGCATGAAAATACAGATAATCGTTGCTCGTGTTATGAATCAGAATGTCCGCAGTTCCCATCTTTTAGAAACTTTAAGACTTTATTAAATTAACTGATTTATTCAAAACGCTTTTTAAACTTTTTTTAAACTTTTTTTTTAACTCTCATTAAGATTATCGCCATTAGACCAGTTTCATTTTACCATGCATGCAGCTTTTATTGAAAATATCTCCACAAGAAAAAGAGCACTACGGAACAGTATGAGTGAAAACTGATTGTAAAACTAAAAACAGCGATAGAACAATAATGAAGAACAACATTGAAACAGAATAGTTCAAATAATCACAAAGTGGAAAGGGATATTATAGCGTAAGTAACTGTCATTATATAGTATTTGTTGCCTCCTTTGTTAATGGAGGAGACTATACACACAGCCAATCTGATGTTGTAAAGGAACAGGTATTCGCGCGTTTATTCTGTAGTTTCATTCCAGATTCAATCGCTGTTTCTTATTTTTGCTTCCTGTGGCAAACTCACCACAAAAGTGAGCCTGCGCTCGGGAAAATATTGTTCGCGTCGTGTCCTTTCGAGTCATGAAGTCAAATGCATGCATGTAGGATAAATGTCAATAACATTATATAGCAAAGCTTTGCTCTTTTTCAGTTTATTAATTATGAGGTACTACAGACTTTGATGTATAAAGGCGATTCTCCATTACCGTTTGTTTCACCCGCGCGGGCGAAGCGGCCTTTGAAATTCTGTCCATGCGAACGTGACGGGTTTAAAAAACAAAGCGCGCTTCAAAGCGACTGCAATGGAAAATTATCTTAAAAAGCACGTCGTGTAAAAGTAGCACGGCCGGAACCTTTCTCCGTGTCCGACCAAATCGCGCGTGTAGTGTAAACGGGGCTTCAGATTAATGTTTGCGCAGTTACCTGAATCTATATTATATAAGTATTTGTTATACAGTTGTTTAAACTATATCGCAATTGCGTTAACATAAAGATAAAAATATGAGCGAAACTTGCTGCTGAAGATTAGAAATTTGAAAATTGAAATCAAAACCCATGCAGTGTATGATAGTCCATAGACAACCGGGACTATCATATCGAGAAATCCCAAAATGAAGACATTCCCACGGATCCTCAGTCAATTTGTAGCATAAATATTCTGGCACTAAAGCACAAGGATCACCCTATGGACTGTAAAAAGTCAATTAATTATCACTCATATATCCCAGAAGTGAAAACCCCGCGAAGTTACTAAACAATAGGCGTGCCTCAGATATATCTATTTTGAAATAGTCCAGGAATTTTTATCCAAAACATTTGTTTTCAATCACTATAATATTTTCGCAAGGAAGCTAGGTTATGCAATTGTCTATTCGTTATTTTCGTTTCTAAAGAAGTACGTGTATTTCAGATTTTTTGCACATTTCAACGTATCAAGCTGTTCAACTTCTGATAAGCACCATTCAAAATTTTTCAAAGCACCATAACACCACAATTGGAAAGAGCTACGCCGGTTTTGCTTTACAAGATCTGACGACGTTTAGCTATTCAATACAGACGTGTTGTGGTCATCGGTAACCATGCAGCTTAAAGTTGTCACCTAAAGACACACATCTCCAGATATTCTTGGTTTGACCGTTCATTTTAGAATAAACAAATTGTGATATTTATAATAATATCAAGAAGATAAAAAAGCAATTCAACACCCCACAAGGCAATTATTCATCTGCCAAGTGTACCACTAAAGTTTACCTTGTATACTCAGCCAACCAAAAATTTATCAGGTTGTCGCATGCTTCACGAATGACCAATGTTGTGCTGCACCCCAAGAACAGTATTGTGGTTTAACATATTGTTAACAATACTATTCACACAGGGTGCAACGCAACATTGTACATTTTTTAGGTGATTTTTAGGGGTGTAATATACCTAAATTACATAATAATATACCTAGCCTACCTCTGGATGGTTTTGAACGTAGCTATATAGTATATAATACACGCAAAATGCATGTAAGAAACCTGAGACTACTGAGATCATATTATGCATTTGCACTCTGACACTTTGCAGTTTCTAGAGGCGAGTATTGTAAATAGCTTCCGAGGGCTCATCGAATGTGATATAACAAAATTGCCCCTTAAGAGCAAACACGCCTCTATCATGATATATACGTAATTATGATAGCCAATATGCTAGCTATGCTCTCCTGAATGAAGGCGGTATATTGGTTTAGGTTTCTTTGTTACTTATTATATTCCATAGGGATAAAAAATTATTGGAAGAACACAGCTCCTTGGTTATATTGTAAACAATCGAAGTATTCAATTGCAATAAGCCTTTCTGCAATATTTTCCCCATTATATCAAGACACTGCATGGCTGTAGCGAAACTAAATTCATCTTCTCCTAAGTAAAATCTAAGGTCTTACACACCCGAAATTCATATTTAACAAGGAAAGGTAATGACTCACCTTCACTGGCTTCAACAACTGGAAAAACTTTGAATTGAAATGATACGCATTGAAATTGATCGTCCACGCGCTTGAGGTTTTAAACTCCTTCAGTGAGCAAATAATTTGCTTGCAATTGATTATCAATCCAAAGTTTCGATAAAAGACACGCTAATAATAACAATTAAGAAACCAGTATATAAGTATTTACAAAGATGCAATGAGTAGAGCCAAACTGGCGTTGCTGTTGGATTAAAACGCGGGGGCGAACCGCGCGATCAATGATCATGAATCTTAAAAACATTTCGCTTCTTGCAAGCAATCTCGCCGACTAAAAATTAGGATTCACAATCAATGTGAACTTTGGTTTGATAAAACCGCAATATATATGATATTGACACTCACATGTGAAACAGCACTGCGGACATGTTCTTCCATGTGATTTTCACACTCGATCGACTTCATGTCTATATTTGATACAGTCATGCAGTAAATCGGATCGCCTCTGTATTAAGTAAGTTAGCTTCTGTGTCAGTATTCTGTTTTGATCCAACAGCAACTGCAATATATTCTACTTTCTACTGCAAAATACTTGGATTCTTTATTCTTATCGGATCATCTTAAAAAAGTTTATTGGAACGTCGGAATGCTAATGAATAGCAACATCTTCTAGCTGTGATTTGAAATATTACGTGCTGTAAATGTTGACAAAAGATTCTGCTAAATGTTGTTGATTAAAATTCATTTATACACTTAACGGTCTTCTGGCTCTGAAATGGCAAAGTAAACTACGTTTTTTAGTAGGAGGCAAAATTGCCTAGGAAATATGTCCCGGGGAGGCCAAATTTTCGGGGGTGGGGCAATTTTTCGGGTGGCAAAATTTCCTGTGACACTGGAATTTTGTAGAAAAAACGCCTGGTTTATCGTGGCTACTCATGATCATATTACACGTTGTGTATCACGAAATGCAAAGTTTTATTACTAGTTGGCGAATTTGAGACTATATTCATTCTTATCTTCATTCTTATAATAGTAACTTGGCCCGAGTGTTTACATCTTATATACCGCGTGCTTTTGTACGCCTTTCGTATCAATATATACTATACAATTACTTAATGGTTTCCGTGTTTGGATGGTCTGATCCAAACACGCGGGAATGTTGCGAGAGTTAAGAAAAGCGCGCGAAACACGAGCCGAAGGCGAGTGTTTTGCGAGCTTTTCTTAACTCGAGCAACATTCCCAAGTGTTTGGATCAGATCATCCAAAAACGGAAACCATTAAGTAATTGTTTTATAAAATAACAAACCATAATAAATTAGTTTTTAAATTCCCGCGAAATTTCCGTGTTTGGATGGCCTGATCCAAACACGGGCTTCAACCAATCAGAACACGCGTTATATACATGTTATTTTATAATAATTGTTCTTGCATGGCTTATATCAATGATCTTCTGAACTGCCTGAATGATGATGTGCTTATACGGATGCCCATAACTTAACACTTCACTTAAAACAAAAAAATTACTAAATAGACAGCAATACATTTCGTATGCTAGTTTCTTCAGCAAGATTTGCCAGACTTTCAAGCCTAAATTCCCCGTTTATTTATTCTACTCAAATTGGGACATTCGTTTTGGCATCACGAATATAAACATGCATGCATGTATTAAAAGAATGAAATATCTGGAATTGGAAGCTTTATGTGTCTATTTTATTTTGAAAATTGGCTTTATCACGATCAAAATCAGTTAGATCTTTTTATGGAACACCAAGGAAGCTGTGAGGAGAGATTGAAACCCTGGATTAGATCAGACAGAATTGGTTACTCTTCTGAACAATATATGGCCTGTGTTTAGGCGGTTTACCTTTACTTCGGCTTTGCTATATAGTACCTGTATGCTATTAGCTTGTCGTCTGTCCAAACAAAGTTCTCATTCTTGTTTTTTGCTTTGAGTTTGGTAGATTTTTGTTTTCAATTCGACATCTCAAGTGCCGGTGACATGCGTGTGGAAAACTAAATGTGTACTGCGGGATCAAACCATTTTCAAAACGTTTCGTTGGACGCGGATAAATATTTTAACCGAGAAATACTTTTGCGTTTTCAAGTTCTTCCGGCATCGTGTTGACGGGCTAAAGCTGCCTGAGAAGTCTGCTTATATACGTCCGTGACGAGCTTCGAATATAGTGCCTGAAGCCTTGCTAAGAAAATAAGTACCTAATTATCAAACACTTCTCGAGGTTTCGACCTAAGCCGGATTTTCCTTAGGAGAGTTAGTATGAAAGAGAACACGGGAAGAACCAGTGTTGCATTTATTAAAGTTTTTTATCCCGAGCATAAAATTAACTTGGGTCGCTGTGTCAATAAACCAGATTTCGTCACAGCTAGTGGGCACATGTTTTGCGTGTGGCAGAACACGTGATAAAAACCAATAGGAAACAGATCTTTCCAATTGGTTTTATTTAATCAAGAAAATGGTTGAAAATGGCAATTTATTTTCGAAGAGTGAAGTGACTTAAATAATAATCTTGCATTTATGCTAGAAGAATGAAGGCTGTGGATGGATGGAAGACTGAGGAGGAGTGTCAGCTAATACCAAAGATGGGACAGACGCCTCGAATTCTCATACACGTGTATGACACAATGATTACCAGGTTAAATTTCTGGCAACAGCTCTACTGTTTAGTACGGTTTCTGGCGAACCTACGGGCAAGTACGGTCGAAGTAAGTACCTCGAGGCCAAAGACTTGTTGCGGGCGAATTCAGGGGCGTAAATAAACAATAATTTGGGGGATTTTTATTGATATATTTAGTTCTGCCCGGCGGAATTCTGTTGTAAATCACGCAAAAACAATAAACATCCCCCTTTCTCCCCCAAATATCGTTCTAGCGGCGCAGGTGATGCAATTTAATAACGTTGAAGGAGAGTTAGGTGAAATAGTGTCTGATAAATTGTGAATATGGACCGGAATAAAAGTTTCGGAATCGAAGATGCATGTTTTCCATGCATCACCAGCGGTCAGCCCCACCAGAAGAATGTGGCATTGTGTTCTAAACAGTTTTACTTTATTTTTGGATTTTATTTCACAACCAAAATAGTAGAAAGTTGCAAGATGAATTATTAAAATTTCTACAATTACAATATTGATAGCACGTTTTGTTCATGATCTCGCCATACCACCCACTTTCGATTTGTACTGTCAATAAGGTGTTTTCCCTCAACTCCCACGCAAGCAAGCGTGGTTTCGTGTCACACACACTGATTGGATGACCTCGATCACGAGGCTAACAATGCTGTGAGTCTTGCCATATATGGGTACAATTACGGATTCAGCCAATCATATTGTAGTTTTTAAAGGGAGTTCTTCTAGGAAAACCCATTTATACAAATCAACTGCTGCACCCATACTGCGAAATGACTGACATTGTGTTAGTATGAGTATTTTGATTTAGTACGAAAGATCAAGCGAAAATTACTCATCCTCACTCAGCGTTGATTTGCTGTGTTCCTTCGACTGTTCCAAAGCCTGCAACATCGAATTTGTGCATTTTTAAAGCACTGAGCTCAGTGAGGTGAATGTTGAAAGTTTGTTTGAATGGATATGTCTGGACAGGCCGGTCTGATGCCATCTTATTTCACTTATGTTAGTCAAATGAATTATCAGGTAAGCCAAATTATATTATGACCTATCGAAAGTTGCTCCACCATCTTCGAGTATTTTTGTCTGAGTCCAAGTTCGATCTTTTCAATTTACCTTCAACTGCGGGGTTCTGGTGTTGCAGTGTTGCTATTATGTTGTAATATGACGTTTGGGAATTGCCCTTTTTGTTTATAAATGTCGACACCGCATATAGACGCATCTATTTACACGATGATCCAGTTTTGACTGAATTTATATAGAACAGTGTTCATTATAACGCATTACATACAGGCACATGGTTAGTTTCTGTGTTAAAATTCAACAAAATCAGCAAAGCTTTCAGACTGGGTTTTAAATGTCAACAAAATATTTCTATTACATTAGAGACAGCAGGGGGCGAAGTTGAGATTAAATTATCCCTGTGATTAAGTGGTTTAACAAATCTACGGCATGTAGATGGCTTCAAAATTATTATATAATTGAAATTTTTTGTTTTGCTTTGTATAATCAATTTAGATATTCACATTATAGTAGCGGTACGTTATCACTCGTTCCGCATTGGACGCTAGCATTACAAACCTCTTTGTCTGGGCTTCGGTATAGCTTCGGCAGGCGATACTGATGGTATTTATCGCGTGACCTTCAGCTGAATCAAGTCACGCCGACTAACATAAAACCGAGGCTATCTTTCGCACCAAAATTTCATCCAACAGCATAGTTTTCTATCGACCGATTATGAAAGATGATATAAAATAATAATGATCCGATCAATCATCCGATCATCATTATGATCGAAATATCCTAATTCTTAGCCTTGTATGCATAATATTTAAAAAATAAAATCAGAATTAAATTTTGCTAGGAATATTTTTCGGGTAATTGTTATAACCTGTTGACGATGAATCCATGATACATATTAAAATGCGTAGTTTTATTGATTTTCGGATTAGGTAAGTCAGGCGTATCAGCCAATAGCTTTGTTTATGTTGATATTGCTAAATGAATGTACAGTAAACGTTCCATCTAATGCGAAATCTAATGCAATTGATACAATATATGTTTTTTTATGAATATAACTATATATATATATCAAAGCACTGTTTCTTTCACTTTGAAATACATGGTCACAATGGCAGGATACAAAGTACAAACAGTATTGCCAACGTTGTATCGAACGTGATGTGTCTAGTGCGTGCGTGGGTGTATATATATATCAGTATGCTGTATAAGTGTAAATCAACCATTGACAGAGACGACGAATAGCAAAACGCGAAGTTAGTAAGATAGATTAGCTTCGTTTAGTGTTTCATCTTGTTATTTTGTGAAGCTAGTAACTGTAACAAGAAAACGCAGAGAAGTACTCACAAACCCTTAATGCCCTAATTTAACCCCACTGGCGCCTGATATCAATTGCTTTAAAACATCGTATTCCCGGCAGTTGTTTCAGCGACGATTGTTTGGTCTAAAATCTCGATTGCGTGTGATCGTTTACAAATTGTGGACTAAGTATAGCTCCCTTCAACATTAGTTTCATAATCATATATATACCAGTCGTAATTACATGGCAGTATTGATGGTATTTATTAGGCTCTATACAGCACGTCAGGACATGTCCTAACACCTTTAAACGAGTACCAGCGCGTGGCTGATATTCCTTATCGTCATTCGATGCTCAATATCACATCAACGCTGAGTTCACGGCATGATATGAAATCGGATATATCTGAATTTAGAAAATATCAGTTCCTGTGTGTTTACTTGAGTCGTCTTCGTGATGAGCTCTGAACTGCCAGCAAATGAAAAACCAATATCCTTAATTCCCTTATCTAACTGGCGCGCAATTAATTTGTAGCAGACAAGCTCAACTTTGCTTTGTATAAATATCTATAATATAAATAACACTTATAACAATTTCGCTCGCGGCATGATTGTAAATATTTTGAGTGAATGTAAAAAATCGCATTGTAAAAATGTAAAATACATTTTTCCTGTGGTGACCTGAGATGGATGCAGCTCGTGGGCCGTGATTGCCTTTACTTGGGTATGAAGCCACTTGATCGCAAATATCAGAAGATAACATTTAACAACTGCGATACAGACGATACTGCATGTTTAGAACGTCCAGAGTCTGAAATTTTCGCATTATAAACTGACAAGTGTGCGTAATTGAATCAATATGTCGTTATGAATTCCAAGAATTCCCTCAAGGTCAAGTTGAATGTTTTAGCAAAAAAGCTCGGGTAAGCCGAGTTGCAATTATCTTAATATATATTTACTAAATAATATTATGTAATATTATGTAATATCAGTCCGAAGTTAGGTAAGGTGAAATGATTATTTTCATACTCGTCGCAAACAAAGCTCAATGATCAATAGCGTGGGCATATTTGTTTGGTTTCAGCTGTCGACCACCTCCAAGTGTACGGTGATTTATTTTTGAAAAAGGATGCAATTACCATGGTGACAATTAAAGGCAAAAATGATTTTCAGTGTGTGACAGTGAAAATCTACCTCACGAAACTAACTGCAAAACAAAACCCTAGATTAAATTTCAGGGTCTTAAATCTAAATACGCGTCGACGTATTAACAGGAATCAGTATAGACTATCTTCCTGTATTTTTTTCCGCTGCTGGTTTGAAAGGAGTTGTTTTTGCATTTGTGAGGTACCCCGCCTTGTTCTGCCGTCTTCAGTTCCTCGTATTGAGGAAGTGCCGCCGCTGAAACAATAATCAGTTTTAAGTATCGGGTTTCCGGAATATAAGAATGAATATTGAGTAATACCCCACCTAACAAAACAAAGAATGTCTTTATTTGCTGAAAACGACACTGATTTGAATGGCTAATTTTATCATGCAGCAAGTCTTTTTGGAGACGTTCATAAAACGTTGGCTAAATAGGGGGATATATATGTCTTATTTAGAATATAGCAAGTCATAAGGAATTAGAGATTCGTAACTTTATCAGTCATTTTGGTTCTTTGTAGTTATTTTAATATATGCATATCTGTGCGATATTTCAAAGAAAATGGTGTGAAAACCTGTTAGTTTCTGTTGTATGGACTTTCATCAGTTTCACCATAGTGTAACGTGCACGACGTTCTAGAACTACAAGGCTAGCGTTTTAGAACTACAGTGTCTGGCAAGTAATAAAGAACATTACTTGATATGCATGTTGGCACGCACATAGCAATATTCACGCCACGTCAAACTCAACACTACATAATAAATATAATGAATGCCGTATTCTACCCTTGATATAGGAAGATGATTTTGATGCAAAGATACTGAAAGCAGTGAAAAAAGAAATGTCAACAGACAATGAGTTAACACCAAGTGCAGCTCCAATTGTCGCCAGCACTGTAACTCTGGAGACTATTCAAGATGTTCTTCATACCCAAGGATATGGCGACATTGAAGGTAAGAGCATTCTATCTCTATGAACAATTAAGTTTACTTCAATTAAACCTGGATTTGAGAAACGTACAATTAACGTGGCGTTGAATAATTTTCAAATAAACGTTTGACAAAAGTTGCCGCATTCTGAAACAATCGTGTTTTAGCGTGTCAGGTTTAAAATGGATGGTCACGACCGTTCGTTAAAATCAAGGGTGCCAAGTAGCTCCAGAGAGAGAGCATATTGATGAAATTCTTTAAAATCTTATTTCGTTTTACTTTCTTTAGCCCCTGAACAAGAATCACAATATGGTCCATTTGAAGGTACCCTTTGTTTGACTATTCCTGCACGCATTGGCCTCACTTCATGAGGATTATATTTCTATTTTTGCCCTAATATATTTCTCATTAATATTAGAAAGAAGAGTATAGAAATTAAAGAGAAAACTTGTTACTAAGTCGTTTTGTTGAGACGAAAATTATTATTCGAATATTCCAATTTCTGATTAATGATGATTTGATGTTTGAGTAGCTTTTTTCGAAAGGGTATGAAGGGTATAGTTTTAAGTGCAAAATTGCGAGTTGTTGTCGAGACAAAATAACTTAAGAAAATCAGAATATCTGTAAGACATAGAAAACAAGGCTATATTGAGTTTAAAACAAATAGGCGACAGTTTAGTTCTTCGACATCTAAGCCATATCACACTGATATTCTGTTGTAGATACTCGGTTTGATCAAGTTGTAGATGTTCAAACTAATGGAGGTAAAATATTTAACTCATTCCATTTTACAAACTGTTCTGGTTATAGTTAAAACTGCCAAACTGATTTAAAAAAGGCAATGGAAAATTGATTGTCTCCGCGCGCAATTCAGCATGCCCAGCAGAAACATGCGAAAAGTACCCATGTTCTGGCATATTAGCTATGATGGTAGATTGGGTCATTTTTTCTTAGGGGCTCTTTACATGAGTCCGGTTACCCGAGGTTCAGCAAAGCGTGAGATGATTTTGAGGTATTGAAATGAGCAGATAACATGATCCTGGCAGTCGTATAATCACCGCAACAATAGTATGTGCTTGTTTGGTGTCATAAAGACTTATTTCATACCTCAAAGTCCTCTCACGCTTCGTTGAATCTCGGGTAACCGGGCACATGTAAACAGCCCCTTACTGTCTCCTTTCGAAGTTTTGATGCATGTGACTTGAAGATGATGTCCAGGGAAGCTGGACTGCTAGATTGGGGGAGGGGTTGCATCTATATTTATATTTATGTTTACACACTATAAAGGGACTGCCAGCTTTAAAAATAGCTTTAATATATGAATATACCCCCCCCCCAATTAAGCTTTTAGTTACGGTCCTGAAAACGTCTTAATATTCAGTTTTTGAATACTCCTAAATTGGCCGAACTCCTCGTTTTATTCATAGAATGACTTTGTGTTTTTCCATTTAAACAGACCGCTTAATAAGTGAAGAAGATGAGATAAATTTTATGCATCTCCCAGGTAATTCATAGCGTATTGGTGAATAATACAATAATATAGTGTTAGAATTAATAGTATATAAGAATATAGTATTAGAATTCAAGACATTAAGAGCCATTGTCCATTAAGCGTCGACTTTTTTGCATCATGACCTTTTTGACCGTTGCAAAATTTGCAATGAAGTGCAAATCTCGCCGATTGCTGCGTTCGTACAAGCCTAGTACCCAGGATGTTTTTCACGTCTGGAAGGGTAGATAGAACTCTGGGCACTAGGAACAATTTGTTTGTTTCTAACTGCAGTAACTGTAGTTGTATATCGCGAAGGCATGCATGTGAACATTTTAGTTACCTTTTTAGATTTTGGAGTAATTCCCAACTCTGATCCATCGTCACTTGAGATGGATTTGTTGAATTATGACTCTGGAATTGAAGCTGAGATAGAAGAAAATAAAGGTTTGTTCATTTTGAATTTATTGAAAAGTCATTGAAAGGTCTAAACATTGAATAGTTTCCACAACAATAATTTTGCCAATTTGTTCAGCTCGAACCCCAAGAAAGCGTTCCAAAACCAAACAGAAACGAGTGAACCGTGAGTATATTTACTTTTCGTTTGTTTGAAAAAGCACTTGTCACACTCTTTCCTGTGATATGATACTGATAATAATCTAAAATTGATAGTTTGTCATCGATTATGCCTTAATTCTGAGATTCATATTTCTAATTTAGGTCTGCAGGTCGACAACATAACAGACAATGCTGAAGAGTCGGAAGAAGCCACAGGTAACCTGCACTTAATACGACTCAGTTTGACATTGAGCTTTTTAGTTCTAAATTCAACTATTCAAATTTCAAACCATCATCGGCAGCCTGATCAATGCCGTTGTACGTCATGGCTACTTACGTCGGGTGAAGTTTACAGTTTGCTGCTACGGTTATGACTCGTATCATTGATAGATCTAATTGACTAATACATATTTTTCCTTTATTGGTATGCGTAGTTTCAAAATTCCATTGCCAAGTATTTGTGGGAATTTTTACAAAGTTTACTCGGCTGTAAGAAATTCAACAGCAGATACATTGAATGGAAGAATCACCCTGAAGGAATCTTCAAGTTGAATGATCATCATTCGGTTGCTAGACTCTGGGGATACAAAAGAAGAGAAAAATATGACTTATGACAAGTTGAGCAGAGCTCTCAGGTATTACTACAGTAAAAATATCCTGCAGAAGGTTGATGGGGAGCGACTTACTTATAAATTTTGCAAATCTGTGTATGAATACAAAAGTTAAACGCATCAGTTATTATACCATACTTCATGTAAAATTTATTTAGGCACGCAACTATATTCTTCCCTAGGAAAGTTCGATATTTTGATCATTGATATTCATTTTCATGACTTTATCACTTCATGTATTTCGGTATTGACTGGTCTAATAGATAGATTAAAGTATTTTCCGGCATTTTGTTGGGGAATGGGGGTGGGGTGGGGTGGAGGTGCTAGATAATAACATAAGCGTACACAACCTGATGATTTAGACCCACCACGCTATCACTGCTTTGAATCATAAAAAAATAATTATAAGGAATTAAGGCCCTTTTTCATATAAAAACACACTCGCGACCAGCCTTCTACTTTGGAGGAAAATTTTCTTCCACAAGCATTGTCGTGCATGTGGAGAGAGGTTATAGAAGTTATTCATATTTTAACGCCATATTTTTTGCCCCTGTGGGCAAATTTTGACAGGATATTTTTTGATTAGATATACCTAATGCACGCTTATACAACACTGGTTAATTCATAGGGGAGCGCACCCCCGAAAACAGATTGAACCTGGTTTAACATTTCCTGATTGTAGCTATCAATTATCTTATTCTAATAACATTTATGACGACTGCGGGTTGCGCAAAAGTATTAGATTTTCTTTATTTCCTTAAAAAAGCTTTGCTGGATTACCATGCACTGTTGAGATTCAATTAAGATCCTTCTCATTCATCCTAGTTCTCAATTCATTGATCAGGCTGCCTATAGACAAATGTCTTTTTCCTGTTTTAATGTTTACATAATTAATTGCATGTGGTTGCATTTGTCATTTATGAAAACACTGCATATACAACTTAACCGTTTATACGTGTAAATTTTTAACTTGTAACTAATTGACTGAAACAGCAAGAATAACGCCGTCGTGTAACATACATTTTTATCATTTTTATTCCTTCTGTGTATATAATTGAAAATTTTTGCAATAAAAAGTCATTTACAAACCATTTTGTGAGAGGATAATGTGCATGAAACAATTTTCAGACACAAAGTTTTAAAAAGTGCGTTCGAAGCATAAATTTCGAAATTCGAATACAAATCTATTTATAATTTTTATACTAGTTCCCTGTTTCGCATTATGCCAGTTACCAGTTGTAGATTCGTGGGGAATCATTATGCACAATTATAGTGTTCAGGTCCTACGAGTAGCATGAAAGTAGTTTATGTTTGGAATTGGAGTCACACCTTTATAGTAATACATGGAAATTCCAAAGAATAAACTTATATAAAATTACATTTAGCCGTTCTTTCTTCAGTAAGATGAGGTCAGAATGTGAAAGAAACAAGCGCAGGTGGGTATCTGATTAAAAAAGTAATTTTAATTATCCTTGATGATAATTTGTCAACGATATAGGCAACGTAAAAATTAGTTAGATGTTTATACTTACAGCCGCTGATTTTTATGCTTATATAGCCGGAAGGGATTGTCGGAACATGTAGAAATGACTTCAGCGTCGCATATCGAGGCGAGAATAGTATTAATTTTAATTTTGTTCGTGCTGCAGTGGGTATTATCACTCTTATGGTATAACCCAATATCGCTGCTCTTCTATCTTTTTATTAAGAATTAAATTTTGAAATCAGTGAAACTGACATAAGAGGTGATGCGAATGAGGTGTTTAATGATTATCAGGCAACAACAGCAACAAGACCCTTGTTACAATAGATTAAAACCTTGCTTGAATGCAGGGACAATCGACATTTGCTAGAAAGATGTTTGGAGGGGAACAGTGCACAACTTATATCCATGTTATAAGTAATCGTTTTCGCAAGCCGTTCCCTCTAAATTCTATGCTAGTCGACATAAATAATTCGAATATTCGTTTACGCCATGCAGGTTCAGGAGCTTCTGTTATTTTCATGTGCCTAATTCGTAAAATTTTCAATACTTTCTAACAATCTGGTTGATTATTGCTGGTAACCGCGGACCATTTCGCAACTATTTATCGCTACATTGACAAGTGATACACGCGTAAAAACGCTCAGGTTGATGCAAGTTGATATAAACAGGATGGAGCAATGTTGTGCTGCCCACATTGTTCAGAGTTGTTATCAATATTGAATAATATTGTTACACCCGATTCAGTTTCAGCAATATTGTTCAATGTTGATAACAACTCTGAACAATGTGGGCAGCACAACATTGCTCCATCCTGCTTGTATCAACGTGCATCAACCTGAGCGTTTTTAGGCGCGTAGTACGAAATATTTGAAATTTCAATATCCCGTCTTTCGTGCGGGGTATATGCTAATTAGCCAATCACAGAGATTTACATAAAATAATGCAAAGGCCGCATGAGCCCTGACACCTGTGTGTTATATATTATAGATATATTTCCGTCAATCGGGCCAAATACCAAGAAATATTTCACCGCCTTTCACTCATTAAACAAAATTGCAGGTAAAATCTCTCGGCCCAGAAAAAAAATTATGGTTTTACAATATGCTTCAAAAAATCTGGCAAGGTACGGGTGTCTCTCTGGAACGGTACAGTGTACAGTATAAAGACACTGATAAAGACTATGTATGAGATACATACTGTATGACGCAATATGTAGCAGGAAATTATGCATGCAATAAAACAGGCATAGATTTAAAAGACCATGTGATACTACAGTGTAAATATATTATCCTAATATCTTCCCTCCAAATTATTAAATATACGAAGACCAGTAACAGTTTCTTCAAAATGGTAATCGCAAATGGTATTATTTACGCGAAAATGTTGCTGATTTCCCAGTAATTTATTCATCCATTTGATGAGTTAATCTGATTTACTCTTGCTTCCTTTCCTGAATATAGTTACAGGCGAGAAGGATGAAACAGTGTTATAAGTTGCACCAATGGCGGTGCCAGTCGTGGACAAGACACCTCCAGCAACCCAGGTTACTCCACCATACGCTGTACCGGCGGCATATTTTGTTGTGTTGTAAACAGTTCCAGATAAGCGACCGAGCAAACCTTGTTGCACATCATTTACTTCGTTCTCATTGTCTGGTTTAGCAAAAACATCTTCATCTGATTTCTGAAAAATAATTAACACAGCTATATTATCTGGGTTCATGCACTGCGCAATGTTGCTAACGGTAAGTAGGCCTACAACAAGTTTCTAATGTCACTTCTTTCAGTCAAGTATAATTTGTTGTTGCAAAAGAGCATACTCTTGGTTGGGTTTGGTTGTAAATGGCATATATTCACTACACACTCAATATATGAAAGGTCATTATGAAATCATTTTGTGAATTGAAAAAAAAAAAAAGAACTAAGCATTGGAGAAAACCACAAGAGACTGTAAACTGGTAATATCTTTGTCTACAAAGGCTATTGTATTAACCTTGCAATGTCTGAATACATTGTTCAGCATTTTATAAGCTAGATGAGAAGATCATCTTGAAAAAATTAGCTGTTTTTTGTCAAGTTCTTACAAGTTGCATGTTTTCACATGTGTATAGCAATGACAAGTATAAAATGACAGATTACATACATCAAAAAGCCACCGGCTGTTTAGTAATAGATACAAACCTAGCTGAGTTTAGATTGCATTTAGAACAAAAAACATTTGGCATGAGCAGCAGATGAGCAGTCAATTTTCACTCTTACTATGTTCTCATGATTTCTGTGGTTCTATTACTGAACAGACAATATTAGATATATCTATTTGATTTAAATATTAAACAAATAAAAACAAATCGATTGATTTATTTATGGTAATCCTAAGAATTTTTACATACTGACCGGTGCAAACTTATTGCACATGTATTTGTTTGGTAATAGATCATGACTTTCAACCAAACAGAAGTAACAGAACATACAATATCATATGTATATATACATATATATACAATTGGAAGGTATACAAAATTATACAATTTCCAATAGAAGAATGCACAAGCTTTTGTTCGAAGGTGTGGTAAAAATGATTTCAGCAATCATACCAAAACTGTCTGGTACAACATGCTATACTTCCTGTTGAAAAAATATTGTGAGAGCATCACATGCTAACAAACTACTGAAAACACACATGGGATATTTTGTTTGGTCCTAAGAACCCGAGACT